TTGATTTTTCACAGAGAGAAAGGGAGAGGGATAGAGAGTTAGAAACATTCATGAGAGAGAAACATCGATCAGCTGCCTCCTGCACACTCCCTACTGGGGATGTGCCCGCAACCAAGGTACATGCCCTTGACTGGAATCGAACCTGGGACCTATCAGTCCCCAGTTTGACGCTCTATCCACTGAGCCAAACCAGTTAGGGCTACCACAGCTTTTTTATCCACCCATCTACAGTTGGACACTTGGACTGTCTCCCAATATTTCTTTATAAGACTACTTCTTGCAAGGAAGTCTGAGTTCTGAATAAGGTACAGAGCACCAGGGAGATTCTAGCTTTCATTTGTGAGTGCCTGGTTAAGGTAGGGAGTACTAAATTGGAAAATTCCATTCTACATTCAGGGACTAAGAGGAAATTGGAAAGTCTGACCTTGAATTAATGTGGCTTGTTTACAGGCATGTGAGTGAAAAATTCTCAAATAATTTACTGGGTGAGTTTCAAGGTGATATACTTATTGGGGCTCCTGGGACCAGTAGTATTGGAGGACTCAGAGGATCAGTGGTTATTGTTGGGTGAATGGATTGCCCTAGTGACATTCCTGATCTCTTCCTCAGTTGCACAGCCACATTTCTGGTTGGTTATATGCTTACTTGTCAAACCTAACAGGTTAAAGAAGAAAGACTTTGGGAATGTTAGGGGGGAAATGTTTCTACTACTTTTGAGAGATCTTTCCTGAGGGAGAGAGCTCCATGCTATGACTGTTCTGGTCATTCTCCATTTCATCACTCACTGTGCCCTGGGGAGGTGGAGTGACTTAGCTAGCTGGTACACAGGGAAAATAACTGGGGATGTCTTGCTTGGCTTGGCCCTTCTTCCTTGTGAGGGTGAGCTGTGTACAGGAACACATGTTCTCTATATGGGCAGGGCTCTCCTGGCCTAGTGTTGCTTATATCTAGAGAGGTAATTCTGGGGTTTAGTTAACCACCATTTGGTGTGTGTGTGTGTGTGTGTGTGTGTGTGTGTGTGTGTAGTGGAGTCCTTTTAAAAAAAAAATAATTCTTGCCCTGACCAGTTTGGCTCAGTCAGGGGTGGGCAAACTTTTTGACTCGAGGGCCACAGTGGGTTCTTAAACTGGACCGGAGGGCCGGAACAAAAGCATGGATGGAGGGTTTGTGTGAACTAATATAAATTCAAAGTAAACATCATTACATAAAAGGGTACGATCTTTTTTTTTTTTTTTAGTTTTATTCATTTCAAACGGGCCGGATCCGGCCTGCGGGCCGTAGTTTGCCCACAGCTGGGCTAGAGCGTCGGCCTGTGGACTGAAGAGTCCCAGGTTTGATTCCGGTCAAGGGCATGTCCCTTGGTTGCGGGCACATTCCCAGTAGAGGGTGTGCAGGCGGCAGCTGATCGATGTTTCTCTCTCATCGATGTTTTTAACTCTCTATCCCTCTCCCTTCCTCTCTGTAAAAAATCAATAAAATATATTAAAAAAATAATTCTTTATTCTTGAAAGTATTACATATGTTTCCCTTTTCCCCCACTGAATCCCTCCAACCTGTCCCCGCCACCTCCCCCACCCCCGGACCCAGGCCTTTAGCACCCTGTTGTCTGTGTCCATGGGTTATGCATAGAAGGTCTTTGGTTGTTTACCTCCCTCCCCCTACCCTCCCTGGCCTTCCCTCAAGATTCCGCACTCTGTCCCATGCTTACATGTCTCTAGATCCACTTCGTTCATCAGTTTATTTTGTTACTTAGATTCCACATATGAGTGAGATCATGTGATACTTGTCTTTCTCCGATTGACTTATTTCACTTAGCATGATACTCTCCAGGTCCCTCTATGCTATCTCAAAGGGTAAGAGATACTTCTTTTTTTTTACTGCTGCATAGTATTCCATGGTATAAATGTACCACAGCTTTTTTTTTTGTTAATCCTCATCCAAGAATTTTTTTTTGCTATTGATTTTAGAGAGAGTGGAAGGGAGAGGAAAAGACAGAGGGAAACATCAATGTGAGAGAAACACATTGATTGGTTGCCTCCTGCATGCACCCCGATCAGGGCCTGGACTGGGAAGGAGCCTGTAACCAAAGTATGTGCCCTTGACTGGAATTGAACCTGGGGTCCTTTGGTCTGAAGGCCAATGCTCTATCCACTGAGCCAAACCGGCTAGGGCACCACAGTTTTTTAATCCACTTATCTACAGATGGGCACTTGGGCTGTTTTCAGATTTTAGCTATTGTAAATTTTGCTGCTATGAACATAGGGGTGCATACATTCTTTCTGATTGGTGCTTCGGGTTTCTTAGAATATATTCCTAGAAGTGGGATCACAGGGTCAAATGGCAGTTCTATAT